CAATGGCTAAGTGGCTAAATCCTCTCCATGCATGCGTTAGAATCCCATATGGGTGCCAATCTGTATCCTGACTACTCCACTTCCCATCAGCTGGTGTGTGTAATGAACTTCAAGAGGTTCTAAATTACTTGTACACAGTGAATGAAGGTGAAACGAAACAGAGAAGAGAGTGGCCAGAATGTTTTAGAGCAATGAGAACCATTATATCATGAAGCTTATTATAGGACACAGTAAAGTTCTCTAAGTAAAACGGAAGCCATTACATGGATCTGAGCAGAGTGGTGGCATGAAATGAATTTTTAAAATTTATTTTTATTGGAAAGACATATGCACAGAGAGAAGGAGAGACAAAGATCTTCTGTCAGCTGATTCATTCTGAAGCCAGGAGCCAGGAACCTTCTCCAGGTCTCCAATGCAGGTACAGGTCTCAATACTTTGGGCTGTCCTCTACTGTTTTCCCAGGCTAAGCAGGGAACTGGAAGGCAAGTGGGGCAACCGGGACAGGAACCGGCATCCACATGGAATAGCAGTGCATGCAAGGCAAGGACTTTCTCCACTAGGCTATAGTGGTAGGCCCTGGTTTGCTTTTTTTTTTTTTAAAGGCTCCTTTATTTTTATTTGAAAGGCAGATTTACACAGAAGGAGAGACAAAAAGATCTTTCATCTGCTGGTTCACTCTTCAAATGGCCACACTGGCCAGCACTGGCCAATTCAAAGTCATAAGCCTGGAGCCCAAGGTCTTACGCACTCCTCTGCTGTTCTCCCAAACTAGGAACAGGAATGGAATGGGAAGTGGAGCAGCCAAGACATACACTGGTGTCCAGAAGGGATACCAGTGCCAGAGGCAGAGGATTAGGTTGCTATACAACTGCGCTGTTCTTTACTGGAAAGGCAGAAAGATCTTTCATCCACTAATTCATTCCCAAGTGATTGCATCAGCCAGGGCTGGGTCAGTCCAAAGCTAGGAACCAGGAACTCCGTCTGAGTCTCCTACTTGGGTGGCAGGGAACAAGTTTCCTACGACATCACCTGCTGCCTCCCAGAGCACCAATTAAGCAGGATGCTGGATTCAGCTGCAAGGCCTGGCACGCAAGCTCCAGCACTCCAACATGAATTGCAAGTGTCCCAAGTGACTTAGATCCTGAATCTAATAACTGCCTAGATTTTATCTTTTAATGTAGTCTATCACTTTCTATTTGTTTTCAGTATTTCTGGCATGCGAGGCAGACAGGTGCTCTGTTTCCTGGCTTTTTTCAATCAGCACAAAAGCAAATTACCTGGCAAGGTATATCTTCTTTTCCACAACTGCCTCATGGGGATCCAAGGTTCCAAACATGAGAAACTTCTAAAACACTTCACTGAAACATTTCAAATGCGTATGCTTTAGCAGTTCTCTTAATTTCCTTTTCCCTGTTTATTCTATTTTGAAAATTTCCCACTCTTCAAGATTTATTTTTATTGGAAAGTCAGAGTTAGACAGGACAGACAGAAAGACCTTCCATTCGCTGATTCACTGCCTAAGTGGCTGCCAATGGCCAGAGCTGAGCCAATCCGAAGCCAGGAGCTTCTTCTGGGTCTCCCATGCGGATGCAGGGTCCCACGGCTTTGGGCCGTCCTCGACTGCTTTCCCAGGCCACAAGCAGGGAGCTGAAAGGGAAGTGGAGCAGCTCGGACAGAAACTGGTACCCATATGGGATCCAGGTGCAAGAAAGGCAAGGACTTTTGGCATTGGGCTATCAAATGAGGCCCCAAATTTCCCCCAAATTTCTGCCTTCACATGAAATCATCCAACTTTGCTTATTTTTCTCTACCATAAAAAAAAGGCAATCATCTGATTGTCCCACTACTCCACCTTTTGCGTACTTTATAGTGCATTTCTGTAAGTAATAATTCATGCACCATAAGTTTGGTTAGTGTGTACCACTAAGCAGTGTTCTTCTAATCTGTTCATGAGGTTTTGAATTAATTCCAATTGCAGAGTATTTCCATCATACTCACAGAAGGAAGCCTGTACCCAGTCGTTCCTTCTTTACTTCTTCCTCCAACCACTGGTACTTACTCATCCACTATCCCTATTGATTTAAGCTTTTGTTGTCACATCCAAATGGAATCATTTCATCTGTGGTTGTGTCTGACTTGATTTAATGTAAGGCTTTCAAGGCTCAACTCTGTTGTGGCTCCTATCAGCACTTCAATTCTTATAACATTCCTTTGTGCGGATATATCATGTTTTGCTTACCTGTGTTATTTGTTGATGGACTTTGGAAACAAGACAAATAATGCTGTCATGAACATTTGTGTGCAAGTTTCTGTAGGAACATGTTTTCAATTCTCTGCTGTATAAACCTAGGAACAGTGTTGGATCCTATGGTAACTGTTTCAACTTTGAACAACTGCCAACTTGTTTTCCCCGGCAGCTGAGCCATCGCACATTCCTGCCAGCCGTGCATGCAGGGTTCCGGCTTTCTCACATCCTATCAATTTGTTTTCCATATTTTTTTTTGACAGCCATGCTATTGGGTGGGAAGTAGTATGTCATTTTCATTTGTATTTGCTAATGATAAATGCGCTAGGCATCTTTTCCTGCGTTTATTATCATTTGTATTTTTTTTCCTTGGAGAAATATCAAAATCCTTTGCAATTTTAAAAATTTCTATTATGAGACAGTGTCACATAATGCAATGTAATTAATAAAAAAATTTCTATTGTTGCATTTTGAGACTATATATTTTTAGATACATTTTCATGGTATTTTTTTTACATTCTGTGGGATGCCTTTTCATTTTTTGATTGTCTTTTAATGTAGGGTATATAATTCTGATGAATTTCAACTTATCTATGTTTGAGTTTCTTAGGCTTTTAGTGTCCTATTAAGAGATCTAATCTGGGGTCAGCATCATGGTATAGTGAGTGAAGTTGCTACCTGCAACTCCAGTGTGGCCAGGCCTAGCCCAGCTCGCTGCAGCCATCCAGGGAGTGAACCAGCACATGGAAGATCGTGCCTTCCTTCCCTCTGACTCTCTAAAACAAAAAAAGTAAAAAAAAATATTTTAAAAAGAGCCTTAATCCTAGGTCATACGGATTTATTTTTTAGGTTGCATAGTTTTGGCTCTTTAGTTTTTTGTTCTATTTTGTTTCAATTAAATTTTGTTCATGGTATGAGGTAGCGCCCTGCCTTAAGTCTGTGCTGCTATAGCAAAAAACCCAAGACGGGACAATGCACAAAGAACAGAAATGTATTGTATGCAGTTGGGGAAGATGGGAAGTCCTGATCAAGGTGCTGGCAGGGCAGGTGTCTGGTGAGGTCTGCCACTTCCAAGATGGTGCCCTGTTGTGGCACACTTCAAACAGATGGGACATGTGTCCCCACCTGGTGGAAGGCACTGATGGGCAGGCAAGCAGCCTCTCAGCCTGCAAGCCCTTTTTCAAGGGACCACTCTGCCCTCATGAATCCAATTGCCTCCCTGAACCTCCAGTTAGTATTGCTGCACTCGGGATTTAAATTTCAACATGATTTTGGAGGGAGTGCCATTATCCAAACTGTAACGGGTCAAAATTCCTTTTTTTTTTTTGTAGATATACAGTTGTCCTAAGCAGCATTTTTTGAAAAGACTACTCTTTCACCAATTTAATGATGTTGGTACCTTTGTCAAAAATCCCCAAGGTTTGATTTGGGCTCGCTCTCGTATTGATCTGGGTATGTCTCTAAGAGCACTTTTAGGCACATGCTTGTTTACTGCCCTCACACCATGATTTCTTTGAGGTCAGGAGCTCCACTTTTATACATCTTAGTATTTTTACTCAGCATTTAACAGGTCCTCAACATGTTCACTGAGCCAACCAACCCAACCACTGATTTTTGAGTAGGATGAGAATGGAATCCATCCTTTTTCTCAGGAAATCTTCTCTGAGGAGGTATTTTTGAAAGTATGAGGTCCCTTCTCCTTAAAAGGCAACTTTTTAACGTTTACTCAACACTTTCCTCATTCACAAAAGTACGAGCACCCCACGTTTTCACCTGAGGAAAGGAGGTGTCTTACGAGCCCAGCAGCACTCTGCGCTGCATGATCTCACACCTTTCACTGCTTTGGAATATAGTTTTTTGAAGACGGAGTTAGAGGTGGCAGGAGTTAATGTCAACCAGGATTATTAGTGAATATCCCAACTACTCATCTAGCCTGCTCGAAGGGTAATCAGTAGTTTAATACTAATGTAATTTGAGACAGGGTTTGAATTATATTACTATGCTTTAGGTATTTTTACTATCTCTAAAAAGAAAGATCATTCTCCTAATAAATCCTTGGGACCTACTGAATTTTTCATTTTGTTTCCTGTCCTCCACTCTCATCTTTTTTTGGACCTGTAGGTCGGTCAGACATACAACCATAGTATTTCTAAAATTTTAAATATAATGTGACAACAGAGGATCGAATTCAGATAAACAGGGTAAGACTTAAGCACCTGAAGTCATGGGTATGAATTACAATTTTAGGCCTTTCTTTTCCCTTGGCCAACCCAATGATCAGTATGCTAATATTCGAGAAAGATAAAATAGTTTTCAAGTTTGGAAATGAGATTAAGAAAAACCTATTAGAAAATATATAAGCCTAATGTCTGTGAGTTGTTCTTTATTTAGTAATCTAAATATTTAAAAATTGATGAAAGGAAATGGAGAACAATGTTTTAGGAACACAGTATTTGCAAAAGAGACTTGGTTGAAAACAATTGTGCCTCCTCCAATCTGTGGCTTTATGATTTGAATTTCTTTTTGTCTGTCCTTCAGAGAAGTAATAAGGATTCCATAAGACATCACATATAGGACTTTTTAAAGTAATAAAATTCTTCCTTAAAGGCTAATTTTCTTAGCTGTTTGCAATAAAAACAGTGTACAGAACTTCAGTGTAAGATTCCAATGTTGTAATGGGAGCAAACAGATGAATAATGTTTGAGATATTTAACACCTGTATTTTAGGTGAGAAAACTACTAATTTGTAACTTTGTAACTTTCTCAAAAGCACAATTCTGACAATACCAGCTTTGTATGGGACTTTAATGGCACACCTAACACACAGTCAGAAAAAAAAGCCCTCAAGAAAAGAAAGCAGAAATGCCAAGATCTTCTCCAACCACAATTACTTTTAATCTATGAAACAGTGTTTCCTTTACAAATTACGTGTTTTTACATTAGTGCCATTTATCATTGATGTGATGTTAGAAGGGGAAGTTGGGCCTGTTTTTCGAGAAATTGAAAAATGTACCATCATTAAGATAAGGAAGAGAAAGATTTGCATCCATCTTTTTGGGACATGTAAGGTGAGAGTGAAGTCTCACAGTTGGAGAATTTGTGGATATTGCTGGAGGAACTGGAAATGCTCTCTAGCAAGCGGGTGATCCCTCTTCCCCGAACACTGTTGTTTTGGCCAGCAATTCTCACCCCGGATGGGTAATCACCTAAGATAGAGGAAACATAATACAAGTTGAGAAATTTAGATCTTACTGTGAAGAGACACTTCAATTAACTGACTCTCCTGCAGTAGGCCTTTCACTAAGCCATAATTAGATGAGTCATGAATAGGAGAGAGATAAAGTTAAAAGCTAAACAAAATGTTCTTTCACTTTTTGGCTAAAAACTTCAGTTATTTTTGGTGATTTTTATCTTGCTTGGGGGGGCGGGGGAAGGAAGAAGGAGAGAGAGAGATCTCCTAACCTCTGCTTGATTCATTTCTGAAACGCTTGCAATAGTCAAGGCTGAAGTCAGGACCTGGAACCCAAGCCAGGACTCCCTATGGGTGGACAAGGACTCAAGTACTTGAGACATCCTACAACCTACTAGGACCAGCAGCAGCAGCAGCCTGGATTGGAAGAGGAGTGTGCACTCCGATACAGTACGTGGTATACTACCAGCAATTTCAGCCACTATGCCAAACAGAACAGAAAACTAACTGAAGTTCTTCAGGCACCACTGGAACTTGGTGCCACTAGCTCCAAAAACTTTACATTACCCAACAGACATCATCACATCAAACTATAAAACTATAGCTGCTACCATAAAAATTGATTTTCAGTTAAGTGTCCTGAACCAAAGTCTGAGGAGTTATTTGGTACATGATATAAAAATGTACATATTCCAACTGCTTATGGTGTAAATGCCAACTAAAGCCCAATTCTACCAGCTTCTATGTACTATACCTAACTTACAAGCGTGTAAGTACCGTGGATCTTAAGCTCCTAACCTTCTTAAAGTGCATTCTTAAAATATTAATGAAGTTTAAGATACTTACCAGTGGGTGTGCGAGATCTTTGATCCTGATTAGAAGAGTTGAAATGAGAGAATCCTGGACTCTCAACCCTTAGCTTCTGCAAATAACAAAGAAATACCAAGAATAAATGTTTATTATTAATTTCTGGGTGTTTACTTATTAAATTGTCTATTTTTCAATGAAAACATCAAAACATGGTATACTTTGGAGAGGAATTAGAAATTACAGGGTTTGTCTTTAATAAGAGTAACAATAACATAAAAAATAGCTTTGCATGATGAATGATTCAAAACAACGGGAAATCCTGAGGATTTCTGAGAGAAAATTGGAGCACTTGCTGGAGAAAATGACTGATGCCATATCCTTCAGTGGCAAGAGGAGAGATCTAATGTATGGATTGGTTTCAGACAGGAACACAGAGAATTCACTCATTCAGCCAACAGTAAAAGCAAGAGATATGAAGACATGGACAGAGGGAGGGGTGGAATATGTGAAAAACAACTTCTCAGAGATGCAGTATGCAAGAGTATCAGGAAAGGCAAAGGAAGAAGTCATGGAAGTGTATGGGAAGAAGGCAAGAACTATCCAGGAGAGGGAGTGATAAATTAGGGAAACGAGTAACAGTCCAGCAAGCAATGAGACTCTCTTCAGCTAGTGCTGATGAACACGTTCTAAGACCAGTCAGCATGGTAGTTTTCAGCCTTATTTAGTTGCACAAGTATAGGGTAGCTTAACAGATTTAATTGGGGTTAGGATGTGTCAACCAAGCATGACAAACCAAAGAGGGTCAACGATGTTGACCATGAATGCAGTGTACTAGAAGTGACAATCCTAGGTACCAAAGTTGGGAAGGAAGGTTGTGATGGGCGAGGATGGAGGAGGTAAAGGAAAAGACCAGAAGCCACAAGTTTCACATGTGTAAATGGTGCTCTTGGATGGAAAATGCCAAGAATCTGCAGTGGAATATAAAACAGAGGAGACAAACACTGAGGCCTTAGGGAAAAAAATGGTGGCAACCAGAAAGGAGACTGTTTGAAACTGAGATAATTGAGGGGGACCATGGTGACTTAAGATATGATCATGGGAGTGGAAGCTTGTGACAGACAACAGAGCAAGGAAGCTAAGGAGTCAAGATGTCAGGTGGCAGAGAGGATCACCTAGGGAGAGCAGAAATAAAGAATTCTGACGAGGAAACTATTTGTTCTCCTAAGAATGAGAAAGAACAACTTCGGTGGCTACCACCTCCACAGCAGGGTTGTCAGCTACTATAGTGTGGATGGTCTGAGGGTCAAAGCCCAAGAATCTTAGAGAAGGTACAGGTATGTAGGAATCCAGGATGTCAACAAAGGACAAGTATTTCAGATGAAGGTCCACAACAACTCGGGAGAAAAAGATGTTACTGTTTGGAAGGACTACTGGAGAAGGAGCATCCTTAGAAGAGGGAGATGAACTTTAGTTAGAACTGAGAGCTTTCGTAAAAAAGGCTGTAACATAGCTAAGACTTTGCTGGTAACTTAAAGTTCCTTACCTGAAAACGTCCTGCATCCAATACCACCATTTTGGGAGTCACAGTATTGCTGGTCTCATAATCTTGCAGTGGTACATGAGCACCTGTGAGCTGAATTCCAAAGAGAGTGGCCAGAGAATTACTGATGCAGTACCTTTAAATGGAAATAAGAAAAAGTTTACCAAAAGAACCTCACATAATTCATCTAATCAGAGTGATACCATTAGAGTTTGGGGAAAAAGTTTAGAGATTCAGAATAAAATCAGAATGGATAGCAATACATAAGTTACTATTACTAAGCAATGTTTCGATAATGTTTTGATACAATTTAAGATTCATCATGAAGGGAGTAGGCATGAAGGTAAAAATGACCAGAATTCTCAGACGCGTGACAGGGAATCAGCACAAATGCAACCACATCAGGAAGCTGAACAGGCCTCAGCAGCACGGTCAGCTGTGGGGTGAAGGAGCCAACAGCGCACCAGGAGGTCTGGGGCTCCAGGAGCTCTCACTATCAGAACACGTCTACGCTTCCTCAGCACCCTCCCGGAGAAGGGCTGTCCTTACTCACAGCAGAGCAGAACTGTGGAAACACACACAACCAGAGATCCACCCTTCTTGCTAAGTGGCAGGCAAAATGGCCCAGAATTCAAGGCATAAAATAGCACCATGAAGCTCTTTTTCCCCAACTTACGCAACCTTCTTGCAAACAGCTAATGCACAGAAGAGAATATCGTTTTCTTCATGCCACTTGCACCTGTACCAAAACACGAGAAAACAAAAAACTTTAATAACCAACTGAAGTAGCACTGGTTAGCAGTTTTCCTATGCCAGATTTCTATGTTAGCTAGTTGAAATCACTTAAGAAAAACTGGTATTACTACTTAAAGATTAATGATTCTACTTAACAAAAAATTTTCTTAGATATTTAAAAAAAACACTTTCATGTTATTTATTTTGATGCAAACTGATACTACACAAACTACACTGTTACATTTTATGTTGAAATAAACACTGTTCTAAATGCACAGTAGTGACTAGCGCTAATGTGCATGTGACTCAGCAAGTGCCCACCACTTGCTAGACATTGTTCTAGGTGCTAGGGACACAGTACTGAGTGAGGCCGACAGGAATTCTTAGCCACACAAAATATACTTTCTAGTGATGAGAGGAAAATGCCAAAAATAACAGTTGAGCATACTACATAGTAAACAACATCTAAACAGAAAAAAGATAGATGTTGGGGAGGGTCAACACTTTAAATTGGCCACAAAAGGCATCACTGAGAAAGTGACATTGGAGAGGAAATGGCTAAAGTTAAGCTGCATGACCCAATATAAGACTTCATACACTGAAACATACTTTCATGATCAGAAGCACTTTGTAAACCTGCACCCATAATTCTACCATACTGACTCAGAACAGCAGTACGACACAAAGCTTGCTTAAATGTAACTAGAATCATTTAAAATTCAAATAAGCAAAACAATTAAGTGTAAAAGTCAGCTATGTGCACCAAATAGAAGTTATTTAACTGAATGGAACACTATCTAAAAATAGGATTCGATATTTCCCAGTTCTTCCAAAGAATGATTCAATAAATGTGATTCATAAAACTAAAGTGATGCCCAAGTTAAAACTAAATGTTACATTCCTAGACAACCACACAGAATCAAGTCATGTTTAGTTTCTAGTTATGTTCCTTGTCCAAGATTAAATCCCAAGAGCACCTGCCTCAAAAACATTTTTTACTGGAGATTAATTTGAAAAGCTGGTAATACATAAAGAGGAAAATAAACAAGCATGTTGGCATTAAAGCACAGCTGCTTAAGCTGCCACACGTCTAGAGGCTTGTTCGAGTCCTGGCTACTCCACCTGAGAGCCAGTTCTGTCTTGATGTGCCTGGTAAAGAAGCACATGGGAAAGCCAGCCATGTGGGAGACTGGAACCTGTTCTTGGCTCCTAACTCTAGACCACTGAGGAAATGTGGGCAGTGAACCAGCACATGGAAGATCAATCCCTCAGATAAGTAAATCTTAGAAACAAAACAGAAACAAAGCAAACAAAACTAAAGCGAAAAGTCCTATAAAAAACACCCAGTTCTAGGAAAATGCCTCCAAATGTAGTTATAATATTGAAAATGATGGCTTTTACTCATATCTGATCCTCTTGCTCCCATTCTTCCAATTCTTGAAAGTTTGAGTGCATTTTCTAATAGAGTTTTTCAATTAATGTCAAAAGTCAGGCCCTTCTCTGTCTTCTTTGTTAAGCTATTAATACTTGCTTTGTAGCCTCAAATCCAGCTCCAACTCGAATGTACACAAAATGTGTCTTTTAAATGGTAATGCTCTCCAATGTCCTAACTCTAGGTCCCAAGTGCAGATGACGCCTCAAGTTCCCAACACGGCTCCACTCAGCTATGTGTAACTACAAAGGCCTGTTACATTCCCTGTTCCCTTTTATCTCAGTCTCAATAATGAGCCACCATCACCCTACAGCTCCCGTCAAGCTGTTTCACTAGTTTGCTTAAACAGTCTGTCTGCATGCTTTCATCCCTGACTCGCTCCTCAGGTCTTTTTCTACTAAAAATGACCTTTCATGCCGCATCTCTGTTCATAGAAATTCTATCTCTAGTACCAGAAGGACCAAATAAAAGTTATTCCAAAAAATATCTCATAGTTCTTAAAACTTATATGAAAGCATTCTCCTTCATCTGCTCCACCATCACCTTTTGAAACCTTTATAAAAAGTACCAGAAATGACAAGCATGACTGCAGTGGCCCCACATTTTGCTACATCTCTTGGGAGACTCAGGGCAAGGATGATGGTCATATTCCTCTCCCTCGTTTCCTCAAGAACTCTGTCTAGTACCTTTTGTAGAAGAACTACTCAAATTTCTGATAAATATGAAAAGCTGATTAAGTGGGACTAGAACCGTCTATTCTGAAGTGGTGTCAAATTGTACAATGGCATCCAATGATCTACTATTGCTGGGCCTTCTGGTTCCAGATGGTGAATTAAGTCCAAGCATAAATCTGCTTTCTCTTGATCATATCAAATGGTAGCCAAAGAACACAAACGGTAGACATCTGCAATAAGCAGCAAACAGGAAGAAATCTCCATGAAGAGTTAAGAAACCTGCACTGCACCTTTACAGGGTGTAAAGCTGAGGCCTGCTGGCATCCCATGTGGGCATCACCTGGAGTCCTGGATGCTCTACATTCGATCCAGCTCCCTGTCAGTGTGCCCAAGAAAGCAGCAAAGGTGGTCCAAGCACCTGGCTGCTGCACCCACGTGGGAGATCCAGATGAAGCTCTGGGCTTCAGTCGGCTTAGCTCTGACTGTTGCAGCCATTTGGGAAAGGACCAAATAGATGGAAATTTTCCCTCTTGCTTGCTTGCTCACTCTGCCTCTCCAACTCTCCCTTTCAAACAAGAAAGTAAATAAATCTTTAAAAGAAAAAAAAAAAGGAAAAACAAGGAATGGCAACTGATGGTGCAGGAGAGAAGTCACAGCCTTTGATGCTTACAAGAGATGCGCCAGCAGCAGGGGCTCTGTGACTTGGACATGGTCCCGGGCAGACAGCACAGATGTGAGGCTGGACTTCTGCACAAGGAACAGGCAACGCTCCTGAGCCCAGGGAACAAGTCAACGGTTCCAGGAGGGTGAGAGGGCAAGAACGGCTGCCATCCTAAAGGCAATGTGGGATTCTGCCTCCAACTTAATATTCAACTCCTTTGTCTGTTTTACAGACAGACGGTTAATCCCCACTGAACAATACAGAACGCTTAGTAGACTTTGTGACCCTTACCTTTTCAATTCCCAATTAACACACATAAAGGCATAATAAAACATAATGGAATACAATGCAAATGAACAGACAAAACAAATTGAGGCATTCTGTCTACATGACATGTGGTCAGATATTCCTTTACCTTAACTGGAAAATATAAGAGAATGCAGAAGTTACAGATTTAATGAAATCTTCAACTTTTTTTTCAAATTTTCAAATTTGGGTTTTAATATAGTATAATACTATCATGTCTGTCAGAGTTGAAGAGACTTCATTTCACACTCAAAATACCTAAAGACAACACTGACATCCAGGGAAGAGCTGCAATAGGAGAAAGATGACAGTAGGAAGGCTGCTCCCAGGAATGACATAATCCAGGGACCAAAGGCAGGCTCCTCCCCAACAAGCAGCTTCAGGAGATCTGTGCAACTGTGGCCTGAAGAACCCGTTTCTCGCCTCATTTCTCTTCCATTCTCATCACCACTGATGATGGCTGCAGGAGCAGGCTGATGTACTGAGACCTCTGAGTTGGAAAGTGTCTCAGAGTCTACCGGTGTTCCTTCCTCTCTCTGCCTTTTTAATCTCATCTACACACTGTAAGGTCCATCAAATGCAGAGGACTTGTCCCTTCTTCTTGCATTTTCAATGGCCAGCACGCAGTGCAAGGAATAGCATACTGCCATCTTCAAACCTCTCCACGAAGCTCCAGGCCTGGGTTGGACTTGCTCTTTTCTCTCCACTCCGTCCAGCTGTTTTCTGTTATCATTCCTTTTCACTTTGTCTCTCTGTGTTTACTCCATCAGCAAGATCCACCCATTAGTATCTGCCTCTACTGTTATCACTGTAGTGCAGGTCACTGTTTCCTGGATTAGAGGAATCCCCAAATACTCAAGGATCTATAATTCCTTTCTTGCCTTTAATTCTTACACTGAAAACCAAACTCACTTATTTCAAAAAACCTTATTTGTTCCTTATTTGGTAAACTTCCCTCCAATGGTTAACAAAGTCTTATGTTTCAGCCCTCCCCACTTTTTTAAGACTTCTATTATTCATTTGAAAGATAAGAGTTGGAATGAGCGACAGACAGCACTTCCATCTCCTGGTTCACTTTTCCAATGGCTGGAGCTGGGCCACACTGAAGACAGGATCTCCCATGTGTGTGCAGCAGTCCAGATAACTGGGCCATATTCTACTGCCTTCCAGGGTTCATTCGCAGACAGCTGTATCAGAAGTGCAGGTGGGACTCGAACCAGAGCCCACATGGGATGCCAGCATTGAGGTGGACATTTAACATGCTACACCATATGCCAGCACCACTCTATTTCTTCACCCTCATCCTCTTGCTCACAACTCCCCAGTCACACCAATGGTCTAACACTTCCCAGCAAATCCCAAGTCCCGATCTCAAGCCTTTCAGTTTGCCCATTTTTTTTCCTGGCTACATCCTTCTCCTCTTTCAGTTCTCAGCATTTTTGTCACAGTCCTAGAACTGGTCTTGTATCATTCTGTAACGTGGTCCACCTTTCTGGAACACTCTTTTCTATGACAATATACTGTCCATTTCTTTGATGGCTCTGTGTCACAAGCTAAAGTTACCATTTTCTTTGTATATCCTTTTTCCTATTTAACTGTTAGTTTCATGAAGACAGAGACAAGGTTACTTTTTGCTCAACACTGTGCCTTCACTACAGTACCCAGCACAAAAGAGATGATCCATACATGTTGCTAATTAAGTAAAGGCTGTGATATTTAAGTCAGCAGGTAATTAACAGCAAATTTATTCCAGGACAATTATGACAAGAAGCATCTGGAGACGGATCTATGTAAAAGCTATAGAATAGTCTCCAAAGTAACATGACGATTATTAATAGCCTGCTCAATTAAGACTACAAAAATCACTTTATGAAACTGCATTCAATTTCATAAATACAAAACATTCCTAGCTTTAGTGACAAAACCAAGCCAAAACCTTACTACAATAAAGTCTTCTGGTAGGGGTTAAAGAGTCTCATTTATACTTGCACTGTCAAGACTCTAATCAGGTTCCATGCTCCTCAGCAACTCAAAATTCCCTTGTACCATATGGTAAGCTAGAATTTTAGATTGTTAAGACAGTTGTAGATAGATTAATTCTGTCCAAACAGTTGCTACTAGGGCAAGTATGGTACAGTGAGTTAAACTGCAGCTTGGGGTAATTGCACTCTACTTGAGAATGTCTGGGAATAAGTTCCAGCTCCACTTTTTTTTTTAAAGATTTATCTATTTATTTAAATGGCAGAGTCAGAGATGGAGACAGGAGAGATTGATGCCCTATGCACTGGTTCACTCCCCAGATGACCACCACAGCCAGTACTGGACCAGGCCAAAGCCAGGAGCTTCATCTGGGTCTCTGACATGGGTGGGTATCAGGGTGCCAAACACTTGCAGCCATCTTCCCTGCCCTCCAACAGGCCATCAAAGGGTAGGCTGGGTGGGAGGTGGAATAAACAAGGAACAAATCAGTGCCCACATGGGATGCTTAGCACTGCAAGGGACAGTTCCATCTACCATGGCACAATGCTGGTCCTGGTCCCATCACCATTTCTAACCCAATTTTCTGCTCCTGTGCCTGAGAAGCAGTAGTTCTTTAGTTCCTGCAACCCATGTGGGAGACCTGGATTTGTGGCTCCTGGCTTTAGCCTCATCCAACCAACTGCTGCGGCTGCTTGGAGAGTCAACCAGTGGACAGAAGCTGAATCTCCATCTTTCCCTCTCTAAGGCAAGTGATTTTAAAATAACTAAATAAATTCTTTCTAAAAACATTCGATTACACAACAGTTTCAGCTCTAATAAGATCTGATGGCATACATTATCTGAATAAAGATTTAAAAATGTAATCTTATGGGGATCTCTCAAATGCTATACCCTGAAAGTAACACTCAGACGATTTCAACCACAAAAACTGATTATATATTAATTTAATAAAACCAAAAATAAAAATCCTGAACACCAGTCACTACTATGAAGTAGAAATATTATCAACATTCCTTGATCATAATGCAAAAAAACACTCAAATTCACTAAGAAAAAAACCAGAAAGGCTTTTTAACCTAGATTGTAAAAGCTTTATTTTCAATTCCTTCTTGAGAGTAAAATAACAAGTTCTGGGGGCTGTGAGACATTATTTAATTAGTGAAAAAACATAAATATTGTCTTAGAGTTAGACTGTGTTACTGTAAGTGTTGTTAATGGCAGTACAGTGACTTAGGAAACACACTGCCATGTTCTGGCATACAGAGGCATGAGGAGAGCTACTACATGAAGTCTTGTTTACAAAAAGTACGTTTGAGCAGCCTGTATCACAAGCACTAAGATATTGTGATGTAACCAATGAACCAATCAATGAGACAGACTGCTTATGATCTACATCAAAGAACTGAAAGGCCTGATATGCTTTTAATACCCTGTGTTATTCCATAATGGGTCAGGAGAGCAGAGAAATCTTCCACCTTCTTAGAGTGTGTGAGGAAGATGTTAAGTATAACCTATCAAGATTGTAACAGGTAACTTACACAGACAGCAGACTCAAATCTGCATTAGACATCAGCAAAATCTATAAAGGTTTACATTGGGTTCCAAGAGTGATCCTGACAGCCTCTTAATAGGAGGTCATATGCACAGAGTGGTGGGGTGGTGGGGCTGGAGTGGAGCAGAACAGGAGGAGGCTTGTATCCCAACCCTGGAGACTCCCGGATCCTCACCAAGGACTATATCCCAACTGCCAAGGAGACCACAGGGAACTGGAGTGCCCTCATAGGCCGAGAACTCTGAGGTCATCCATTTCCTATCAGATCTCCCACACGGGATGCAAGAAGCCCAGATCCTTCCTCACAGGGTCTAACGTCATTGGAACAACAGAGAGGATCCCAGAGCGGTCCTCAGAAACAGAAGAACAGTAAACTTCCTTCGGGACTTGGGAAAGGAGCTTTCTATGGTCCTAACTTAGTTCCAACTTTGGCTCCCCACCTTCTCTTGCAATGATCATCAGGGTCGCTCTGGAGCCCCCCCAAAATTAGACCAGATAGAGATCAAGGAAAGCCTAAAACAGACAGGAAGCAGTCAGCCTGGATTTCTATATACCTTACTAGGCAGGACACAAAAAATTAGTTACTCCTCACTAAGGTATTGAAGATTTCTCTGCACACTCCTCCTAAAACTGTTCTGCTCTTCAATTGTTAACATATGGCTTGTTTGAGGTATAAGCCTGTTTGGACTATCCTGAAATTCATGTAGTTCAGTAGAAATCACGTTTGAATACTATAAGCTGCTAAATATAAAAATGAAAATAGACACGAGGCAGCTGATTAATACGCTATAACTATTTTAAGGTGTATAACAGCCGGTTATGTATATACTAACATTGAGATGTTAATGAAGTAGTTACAGGATGTGGTTAAGAACTTGCATTTTCTAACATATTGGTCACTCAATAACCATGTAAATTAACTTCATGATGTTGTAAATTGTTGCTCAAGTTGTGTTCCATTGGAGGCGATAATATTCTGCCAACTCTACTTTCAGACCAGGGATGGTTTCCCAATGAAACTGTTGAATTTATCTGGACAATAAGATGCTAGAGTCTCTGCTTGGTCCATGCCCGCAAAGAAGGAATCATGACTGGTTATGATCTGTACTACTGTAACAATATGGAGGAATTCAAAATGGAGGAGGGTTTGGGGAAGGGTTGGGGGAATCTCAGAGCCTATGAAACTGTGTCATAAAATGAAATAAAAAGTATGTTTGAGGATACTTTAAAAAGTTTGTGAAAAATGCAATTACAGGATAAATTCAGTATGTGGGAAAGAATTTTGAGGCTTATGTAGTTTTTCATATGTATTTCCAATGAACATTCTGAAGTACTCCTGTGTATGTTTATAATTACGGAATATGAGAACAGTGTACTTTGTACTATTCTTGCAATTTTTCTTTAACCCTTAAATTATTTTAAAAAAACTTTAATTCACTGACATATCCCTTTATACATAAGAGTTCTATATAATAAAAAGTCTGAAACATTCTTTTAACAGTACGGAAGTAGCAACTGATAAGAAAGAACACTCAGTTTATCTGGCAGTTTTTAATAGCACAGAAAATGGCTATATCTGGAAATCAGTGTAATTAATGAGGAAATACAATACTTTCAAGGTTTCACAAGAAAGTACCACATAAAAAGGCAAACACAACCAATCCTACTATGTCTTCTCAGTTCCGAAGTGAAAATTACCTCATTACAAAATCACTACCCTTACCTTGTGTTGCTAGAATAATCCCACATGGCCACATCTAGGAGGCTTCGAACCCAGGTTTTGGAGGGCTCCTTGAGGAATTTCTTCTGGTAGATCCCCACTACGAGGTCCTCTACAGTGAGAAGTTCCAGATTCTGCCTTATTTCTTCCATTATTAAATAGAAAAAAACATGTACAGTTAATTTGGCTACCAAAAACATGTCTATCAAAATGAAAACACATACAAGTATTGCAAGGTTCCTCTGAGATGACCCAGAGCTTCACTCACCTGATGTCTTTGCCATATGCTTCAAACACCAGTTGACCCTGGCTCTGTCATCAGACTGCAGAAGGGAAAAAAAATTACTTGCATTTTTTTCCTTGTCTTATTTTTAATTAATGCTATCCTAAGTGGGGAGGGATGATTGGAGCAAAACACTGATATGTATGATAACCAAATAAGAATTATTTTTTAAAAAGGACATTAGAAAAAACTACTGTTATTAATTACCTTTACTTAGCAATCTTAACATTTTCAAGAAAAGAAAGCAAATCTTAATGTAGAAAAAGGAAATCAATATTCAGAAATAATCCGGTATTATACTCAGTTATTGGTCCATAGGAAGATTAAAATTCAATTCTTTAACTCCTGGTCTTGAATAATTTAGGCAAAATAGATACAGTACCTAAATAACATTAGAAATGGGAGCAATGGATTGCTATAGAGTCTGCATAAAAGCTAAACTGGCTTGGAAGGATAAATGCATAGATTTAATCATCCACATGTCAGGGTAAAAACAAAAGCACTGTGGATATCTCAAAGGGAAATTAAAAAATCATGGGATCAGGGATGGTGCTATGGCATACTAGGTGACACCTCTGCCTGTGGTGTCAGCATCTCTATGAGCACTGGTTCGACACCCAGCTGCTCCATTTATGACCCAGCTCCCTGTTAACGTGCCTTGCAAAACAGCAAGTCCTTGGGCCTCTGTAACCATGTGGAGATCTGGAAGAAACTCCAGATTCCGGACTTTGCACTGGCCCAAGTCCGACTACAGACGCCATTTGTGCACTGAACCAGCAGACAGAGCCTTTTGTGACTCCTCCTTGCTCTGTAAGTCTGCCTTTCAAATAAAATATTTTTAAAAAATCACGGAATCTACCTAAGGAAAAATACATCCCGCTCTTGCAGTCTTTAAAATCCCTCTGGAATCAGAGGATTATAAAAGGCATTATACCTGGATGGGAAATGGAGCTACCGGGATTAGAAATCCTGCTCATATGGGATCCCAATGAATGCAAGGTGAGGACTTTAGCCACTAGGCTACCACGTCAGGCCCAGAATGAACATATTTTAATACACATAGCTAATACAGAGGCAAAATTTTTTCTTCCCATATTTTTCATGTATCTTTTATCTAAATGGATATTTCAAAAGGACTTAACTAGAAATTACCTTGCAGTAAATGGGTGGCCAGTTCCCTGAGTTTGGGTGAATAAACCTATAGAGACTTTTTAAAACAGTTGCTTGGTCACACCCAAATTCAAAGTTTGAAATAGGAATCTTATGACTAGAATCACCTGAAGAAAATAGAAAGAAAAAGTTCAAACTTTAGCAAGACAAATATGCAAGTTATGCAAGCAGTACAAGAAGAAAGAATTGGTTAACTCATTTAAATATTTGTGCCAAGTTGATTACATTGGTATTTCGTGTATTTTGACTTGTAATCTTGCAATCACTCTATGAAATAGACAATATATACATAATAGAGAGGCAACTGAGCATGACAACAGAGATGAGCAGTACTTAAGAGCTGGTGAACAGTGATATTACAACCCAAACCCAGGTTCAGTGACCAAGCCTGCAGTGTTTTCACTATTTCTACACAGCCTTTGATGAATGTCTATCAATAAGGTTAGAGAACTTATTAGTAATAATGACTGCTTTTTAAAGGTAGTTTCTCAATATATTATCTTGGGCCAGCACTGTAGTGCAGTGAGCCACGACACCAAGAGCAATGCTGGTATCCCACATTAGAGCACCAGTTTGAGCCCCGGCTGCTTCATTTCCAATTCAGCTCACGGATAATGTGCCAGTGCCCCCTATGTGGGAGTCCTGGATGAACCTCCGGGCTCCTGGCTTCCGTCTAGGTGAGCCCTGATCATTGCCACTAATTTGGGGAATCTGAATTTGATAACTCTAAATATCTCATACAATTGAAATAGTATTTTTCCCTTTGTAACTGGCTTATTGACTACAAGGTTCATCTGTGTGGCAGCATATTGCCAGAAGTTCTCAGCTTTCTAAGGCTGTAAAACTTTATTCTCTTTTTACATTCATCTTTCAGTACCTTAGATATTGCAAGTAATGTTATGAATACGTGTGTACCAATCCCAATTTGAGTCCCTGAGTATGTACCTGTATGTAGGAATTGCAGGAACATAAGGTAATTATGTTTAATTCTTTTCCTTTTGAGAAACTGCCATATTAGTTTCCACGGAGGCTCTGCACCATTTCATGTCCCCATTAAATAATGCACAAATGTCTCAATTTCTCTACATTCTTGGCAACAGTTGTTGTTTTCTTAGTTTTTAATTACAGCCATCCTAACGGGTATGATGTCATTTCTTGATGGGGTCTTGATCTGCATTTCCCTCATTCTCAGGGGGCTGATGAGAACCCTTTCTGGTGCTTGTTGGCCATTTGTATGTAGACCATGTTTGGAGAAATGTCTACTCAAGTCCCTTGACTACTGCTTAGTTGGTTTTTATGGTTGATTAGCAGAATTCATATATATTCTGCATATTAATCCCTTATCAAATGTAAATTGATTTTCTCCTGATCTTTGGATAATCTGCTCACTTTCTTGACAGTGTCCTTTGATGCACAGTTCAATTTTGATATAGTTCAATTTTTCTATTTTGTCTTGATTTTACTTTTGGTATCATATGCAAGAAATCCATTACCATGAAGTTTACCCTATTCACCGCTAAAAGCTTTATCTTCTTAGTGCTTGAATGTAGGTCATTCATTCACTTTTCAATTATTGTTTGTATAACAGATAAGGTAATGGTCCCACTTAATCCTTTTGTATGTGGAAATCCAGTTGGTCCATGAAACCAAATACAATTTTCAGTATGAGAACGTAAAAATAAATAAATAAAAATAAAAGTAGTTTTTCAGTTCCAGGAAAAGTCAAAACAAAACAACGGACCAGGTAATTTTCAGATCAATCCTCTAACAAAAAATAAAAGAGTGTAAGTATATTACAAACACACACACAGAGTAATCGTCGAAAGACGCAAAAGAATACAGAAATTCAGAGCAGTGAGACTGACTGAGAGGTCATCTGCCAACTGCAGGAGGGGATTGGGAAGGCCGAGTCGTGTGCATTTCACAGCTGGAAGCCAGGACTTCTAGGCTCCCCAGATGTCTAAAAGAAGCAAATATAAAACTATCTGGAGGAAGAATCTATCATTGTAAACCTCAAATTACTTTGAAATAATGTTTTTTCCCAAATATTACATATAAATAATCAGATACACAAGAAAAAAGAATGAAGATAAAATATGCTGAAAGATACTTATGGGCACTCTAGATAATGAACTGCCTATAATGTTTCAAGTAAGTATGCTTATGATTTAATAGATCAAATCACATATTTCAGAATATTGGGAAAGATTTTTTAAAAAGCAGAAATAATTCAACTCATTATAACAGCCTGGGGAAAAGATGAACATATCTAACACCTGTACTTCAGAGATGATAACAGTTGAGGAAGTACTGGCCTAAAATTTTGAAAAGGAGAAATAGAGCAGAATCAGACATCTGGGTTTTATTCTCACCAGAGGACATTACCAATTTTACAGGACTAAGAAGCTAAGAAACTGGAAAGTCTTTCAACAGAACTAAAGGTAGGAAAAATTTAAAATAGTCTTCCCTTATTACTTATGTAATCAATACTGATAATTAAAAACATATTTCATTATGTTCCGGTTTCTACATTTATGCTCTGATGTCAACTGCGAGTTTTACGGATGATCCTTTGGTTAACCTGTCCACATTCCCTGTTTTCAGACTAGAAACATATCAACTAGAAAGGTATCGACTAGAAACATAATAACTGAGCCTTATAATAAAATTTAAAATTACCTCAATGCTTAAAACTAAAGATGCTCAGTTGCTACAACCTTCCATCAGATGCAATCACGAACCTTACAGGAATAGCAAGCTTTTATGTATGCTGTTTAGCATTCAAAAATGATTACAGAGAGGAGATCCAAAATGGCTAAACAGTGGGAAACATATTGACCTCAGCTGCAATATGACATGGGGGAAAAGGTGAGGAGGGATCACATTTCTAAGGGGACTGGAACAAATTTTCAATGGAGACATGGCGGAACAGTCCAGAGACTCTGTAGGAGTGAGGAAAGAGGACATACAACGTTGCTGCAGCTGGAGTCAAAATCTTCCCAGGTCACGGTGGGAAGAAGCTGCCAATGTCCAGCCACTGAGACAGAACTCCAGGCACCCACTGACCAACTCCAGCCTGGTGACCCGACGGGGGTCTGAGTCATTGCCTGCCTGAGAAAGCAAGCCACATCACCTTCTTCCTTTCTTCCAACCCTGCAGAGCACCCATCAGCCACCACAAGCATTCTGCTAGAAGCCACATGAGGGCAAGTTGCAAGTTGTTTTTGCAGCCTGCCGCTGTGGGATTTTAGGCCTAAGACCTGACGCCCCACTCACTCTTCATGGTCCAGGAGATTTCCCACTCAGTTTCCTGGAGGTAGCCCAACCACTCATTACAAAGCTAGATCCATCATGAAGAAGTTCTTTTTGTATTTGCAAGTTCATAGTGCTATGAACCCCAGAAGTCCCAACAGCAACCTTGAACGCCTTGTGAGAACTGGGAGTAGTTCATCTTGCAGAACCAGTGCCTTGAGAACCAGTGCTGTTCTTGTTGACATCACAATGTTTAGAGTAACTTGTATTTGTTAGTGTAGTGTACTGTGTTGCTCTGCTTCAGAGTGGCTACAATGATTCCCCAAACCTGGGGCCCATCCTAGGAGATGTGGATAATGCCCCCACTTTACCCTGTAACACTGGCACTAATTTCCTCACAACCACTGGAATCTAGGGAAGAACCTGCTAGCATTTCACCCTTCTGGACTCACCCCCCATCGGCGCAAAATCTATATTCTTTGCAGTCACCCTGTAGGAATGCAGCAGCATCCAGCTCACATCCCCCAGCCATGGGACTACAGCTATTGGTTTTATAAGCCCCAGTATCAGTTGTACCTCCTGGCAGGATTTGAATAAAAATCCTAGAGCTACAGGTATTGGTACAAGTCCCAGAACCATTCTGCCTTACCATTAGGACAAGAGTACAGCCAGCTTTGAGTTCCCTGACAGCACAAAGCTTCGGCTATCACAGACCCCAGGGTAACTAACACTGAACTCTCTAGAACTGAAGATACATAACCTAGGAAACACAATCACCTCAAAATCACATTTCTATGCATTCAAACTGCATATCAGACCACTGATATTGACTTTAGCGAAAGACTTTACATCTAGGATCATCTCAAATCCAAGCTAAAGCAACAAGCTAAGTGATACCCTGATTTTATTTAAAACATGAACTTTTGTTACAAGACCTACTTCATAAAGAAAAGTGAATTATGAGGCCAGATGTGTAGCTCTCAACACAGGGACAAGAGGAAACAAAGTCAGGAAGCAGGACATCCCCAAATGGACATGGCAGTTCTCCAGAATTAGATCCTGATCTGAAGCAAATGTATGAAATGCCAGAGCAGAATTCAAAACAGTGAGCAGACTCAATGTGACACAAGAGAATACAGATAAAGAAATGAGAAAATGAGTAAGTGACACGAATTAAAAATTTACTATGGATACAGATTATTAAAAAGAAACAAATTGTGGAGATGAAATCTTTAATCAATGAAATAAAAATATGGCAAAGCTTTACCAGTATGACACAACAAGTGGGAAAAATAATTTCAGACATGGAGTGTAAGATTTTTGAAATAACCCCCTCAGATAAAAAATAATGAAGAGAGTCTTGGTGAAATATGGGATATCATTAAATGACCACACATTCCTATTTTAGGGATTCCTGAAGGAGAGAGAGAGGAAAGGCACTGAGAACCTGCCAAATGAATCGGTGAAAATCCAGGTCTTAAGAGACAGGGTCATCCAGGCAGGGGAAGCCCAGAGCACCCAAAGAGACTTAACCAAAGATTTTTCTAAGGCTCATTACAGTCAAACTATGTAAAAAAAAAAAGTTAACTATAAAGAAAAAATTCTAGAGACAGAAGGAGGAGTATCAAAATTTCACAGCAGAAGCCCTGAAGGACAGAAGAAAATAGAATGATACATCGCAGGTCTTAAAAAAAAAATTCCAACCAAGAATATTACATCCAGGGAAGTTATCTTTTAGAAGTGAGGAGAAATAAATAAGATGTTTTAAATATAACCAGATCATTTTTGCAACAAAATGGGCCCAGCTGGAAACCATTATGCTTAGTGAAATAGCTAGTCCCCAAAGACAAACATCT